AACTGGTATACAACTAAAAACATTTTATTTAGGCCTATCTATGGCCTCCAAAAAGTTGACGACTAAATTACTTATTTAGCTAAAATCATAAATAATATTCAACGTTAAACTGGTATACAACTAAAAACATTTTATTTAGGCCTATCTATGGCCTTCAAAACGTTGAATATTATTTATGATTTTAACTTTATACACAAGTGCCAAAATACTATAATTAGGAGTGACGTTATTTATAAATTTGTCAAACACAAGAATGACTGGGGATCTGTCAGAATATCAGATCTAAACATCTATCAGTATTGTATACCAATCATAACACTGTATTCCTAGTTTCTTACACAGAATTGTTTCTTTACAGTTTATAAATACATATGAATTACAGATTCCATATCTCTATCTCCGATTATTATGATTTATTTCCGTCTCCAAATCAGCCAAAACACTGTACTGTTTATCTTTTACTTGGATTTTATGGTATATCTGTAATCTTCACAACTAAATCAGTTAGAGATTGCTTTCCTAATCACTAATTCATGTTATTATAATTCACCTGTAAATAAGTGTATTACAGATTCCATATTCATGATTCAGTGGATTTTATATTGTTCGATAAAACCTCAAGATTTAGCTATTTTTCTTTAAACGTATCATTAGGTTTGTTTTTAGAACCAAAATGTAAAGTTACAAGTTTTCAAACTGTACAAAAATAATGTTTATATCCCTTAGCGACATTCATATCTGAGGTACTCTACTTTCTTAGGACTTAAAATAAAAGGTACTAATACATTTCCTTTACGATTTCCAAAACCGTCATCCTGTGATTATTGAACAAGATATTATTTGTTACATTTCAAGACCTTTTAATGACCTTAACACACCAATCAGAAAGACCTGGAGCACCACACTAGTGGTTGACAAGATTGAACAAGTTTTTGAACATGTATTTTACTGAAATATCCAAGCATACTGAATGAGCGATATTAAAATAGTTTGTTGTTTCCTCTTCCACCCGAGTCTGTAAATACAATAAAATTTTACTATAGTCTAATTTTTTTCGTGTTTACACATTCTTGTTGTTTAGGTTTTTCTATATACATTGAATACGAATGATTAATACATACACACAAAACGTTCTGTGCCATTAGGCACTCACATTTAAAGCAGTGACTGGCGTATTGTATACATATACTTTCTTTAACATCACAGTTAAATTTGCTGATAAATATTATTTTATCTTTGGTCATTTAGAAACCAAAATAACATCTCTCCATACACAAAAAAATATTATTAAACAGCTAATTATCACTAGAACATTACAAAACAAACCTAACTCTTATTAAAAGTAGAAGGATTATTTTGCCATTTGAGTAATTTTGTATTAAAAATAACACTTTTCCACTTGCTCAGGACTTTTATGCAATTCTTCTCAATTGAACAATACGCATTTAGTCAGAATTTCACTAAATGTTTAGCCTAACCAACATGTCTCTCATAAATAGAACATTAAGCTTCCAACACCGGACATTTCTCAAATGTTTCATAGTAAATGGTAATCGAAATTTATTACACTGATACCATAAAGAATTCCAGTTCAATATCTACTTTCAAAATATCATCTGGTATCCAAGGGGCTTTACGAAAAATGAGACGATTGTACTCAGCAAAACTTCAAAGTTATGAAATGTAGCACCTTTCAAGTAATTTTAAATAAAAAAAGAATGTGTTGCATATTTAAAAAATTGATAAATTAAGACTCACCAGCAATCTTAAATAAATAACAGACTCGTCAAATTTCTGTAGGAAAATCTTTTAATTAAAATGGTAAGAGAAACCTTTTAAAGAAGTTCCTTCACTTCTAAATGTTATTGAGAAAACTACCTGCAGTCGGGTCAAAGGAAGTTAAACCAATTTTTGCAGAATAATGTAAATATATATTAGTTAAAAGTAAACATGTTCTTTTAATAACAGCTTTTTATGTTTTATTACAAATTAAAATTGAACCATTGATGAACACAAAGATGGGAAATGCAATTTAAAATAGTCTATAACGAAGATAAAAAAAGTATGTGACCTAAAATAATTAGACTTTTATCATAACACATACACACATTGCTGAGCATAATTTATGGCTTAATTTCAAATTTACTTATAATTAAAAAAAATATTTAATTTGAAATCTATAAAAGCAACATCTTGCAATTTCAACTAATATCAGTGCATCTTGTGTTTATTCCCCTTTCTTTTACCAAACAGGTAAATTCCTTTTAAGTTTTCATGAAAATCTAAAGTAGATAAAAGGTTACTGATGATTATTGGTTCAACAAATATAAGAAGAGCAGACACCAAAAATGAACAAGTAATTAAATCAATTGATTATATTCTCTTATCCTACAAAAGGGGAAAAATATCTCGTCTCAGATAACATGATTTTAAATTCTGTTAAATATTCATCAGTAAGACTTACAAGTACACGTAATTCAGAAACAGGTTATGCTTTTATATTGTACAGTAACAATCAAATAAATAACACTGTAATGTTCCATGTCACTAATCATTTTCAATTCAATACATATTTTACATAATATTTTATGTATATAAATTATTTTTAACTTTCAATTATGTTAGATTTTATTTGTCCATCACGTCCCTCCAAAGCTCGAAAGCTAGCCGTGCCATATTTAGTTGCAAATAGGTACACATCTAGTGTTCTTTCAGTGCAATCTCCAATAAACCTGATAAATGGTCTAGCATCCCCTTCATTAGCAAACTGTATATACTGGTAATAAAGAGAGCGGTCCTGTTTTCTCACAATCACTGGAGGATAACCCGCTCTCATAAGAATTAAGTTCATAAGTAATCGACCTGTCCTGCCATTTCCATCCACAAAAGGATGAATAAAAACAAACTTATAATGAGCTAAAGCTGCATATTTCACTGGGTGAAGTTTCAGAGCTTTATCAGAATTAAGCCAATCAATCATATCTTCCATGAGATCAAGTACTTCGGCTGGTGGAGGTGGAACATGTTTACTAACATATACCCGAGATCTTCTCACAGTTCCCGCTTCAACAGGATCCACATGACCTAAAACTCTCTTGTGGATCTCTAAGATATCACCAACTGTAACAGGACCAAGTTTAGTCACTAAAGAGTTATTAATATACTTCAAGGCTGATTCTAAGCCAATGATTTCATTGTGTTCCATGATACTTTTTCCCGGAACGGCCATTCCAGTCTCAATTATGCTGCGGGTTTCAGCTAGAGTCATCGTGTTTCCTTCTAAGGCAACTGTATGGTGAATATGCTGAAAGTAAGCTTCCTTCTTCATTCTTTTCAAGGATGAATCATTATCTGGAACTTGAAAGAGGTGATCTCGTTTTCTGTCAATCCTGTTCAGCTGTTCTTGGTCTAACTCTTCAACCACTGGAAGAGTTCGAACCCTGTTCACAAGAGCTTTAGAATGTTCTGGACAAACAATCAGAGCTCTTTGATACAAGTGATCAGCTTTAATAACATCTTGATTTTGATGCTCGATAAACTCTCCATAATGGGTAAGGATGTCTGGATGCAGAGGATTCAGAGCCACAGCATGTTGGAAAAATTTCAAAGCTTTCTCTGCTTCTCCAAAACCTTTCATGCGAAGAGCCATATTTAGAGATAACTCAGCTTCAGGTTCTACAAAAAAAAAGAAAGAAAAAAAAAGAGTATTTATTAATCATTCAGTGTTTATAACAACAGTTTATTGTATCATTCTCCAACTTAAAAACATACTCATTCTTTTAGTTAGTACTTATTCTATAAGTTGGCTTCTCAGCAATACTTGGTAATTAACTTTATGAAAACAATTCCAGTTTTCTTCGTTTTCCACTAACATTTATAAATGAACACTTAATTAACTGGTCACCTATGAGCATCAATTAGCATTACATAAAATAATAAATTAACCAAAATTATGATTAATTCAATAAATAATGTCATAAGAATAGTCACCTAATCAGAATTTGTGTTTCTCATTATTCAAACTATCCAAATACGAAAATATTATGATTTTTGATTAAATAAAGGTTATTCAGCTTAACAAGTAGTGTCAAAACTCATGAAAATAATCAATTAACCAAAATTAGTGTTGTGTTTCCAATTATTCCAAATACCCAAGTCTCATATGAGAATAATTTAAGTGTATTTGACTAATGAGCCCAACAATTAACCAATTATTAATATTCCACTAGGTAAGAGTTCCATATGGCACTCCCACTCAATTTAAAAAAAAATTCATCAAAGTAAT